ATATTTGAGGCAAGCAAATGTGGGAACTATCTTACCACACCACCAGGGCTGGTAGCACCGACAGCCTATGAGGTAGGAGTGGTCAGAACTTCCTAGAAATGCTCTGGAAGCAGTAGTTCTGATTCTACCTTTACAGGAATGAGGCTAAGTGATCTCCTTCAGCCACCGGCAAGGCAGTGAAGGAGTCAGAATTCCCATGGGGGCCTGATTCCAGAGCCCACTGCAGGCACGACCGTGCCACTGTGTTTTTCGTGTTGGCGCTGGGCCAAGTGGGCTGTCATTGGTGTGATCTAAAATTAGACGACTGGATGAAAGGAAAATGGAATAAGGTCTTTGAAAGTGAAGGACAACCTGCGACCTTGTTCTCAATCTAAGAATAATTCATTCACTTAATGTCTTCTGGAATAGGTTCTTCACACACACACACACACACACACACACACACACACACACACGCGCGCGCGCGCGCGCACGTCAAGCTAACTGCTGTTCTCTCCAAAATTCATTTTACACAGTAAGTGCATATTATGTAAATATGTACATATATCTTCCTTTCTTAAAGTGATTATGCAGAACATAATGAAACAGTTTGTTCTGTTCCAGGACGATCATTTCTCAACAAGAACCAGGACCACTATGGGGGCATTCACAGGAGAATTTTTGTGATGTTACTGTGAGTAAATGTCTTGCTGGCCACTGCTAAGTCCCCCTCCCTTCGCTTAGTTCTTACAATTGGCTGCCTGTCCTCTACCCTGGACATTTATTTCTTGAGTCCAAAGGGAATAGAGAGGTGAGCTGCGACACACTAACGTTACCAGTACACTGCTCCTAGGTTCTAAAGACAGTTTCCCCCAAGAAATAATTATAAGTTAGCCTTAGGGAAAGGGGATGGCAGGAAGTGGGAGGAGAAGACAGGAGAAAAAGGAGGGTTTGTTTATTTTTCTCATGTAAAGCCTTTCATTAATTGGGATTGTTTAATGTTATGTGTGTTTTCCTTTTGCTCGAGCGGGCCCAGTAACGTCTCCATTGGAGACTTTGTTGTTACTGTGTCTGGCATATCGAATACTCTCGGTAGCTTGCCGGGCTCTCCGAGAGGGGCAGAGGAATCGAACTCGGGTCGGCCATGTTGGCCGCTTGTAAGGCGAACGCCCTACCCGCTGTGCTATCGCTCTGGCCTGGAGCGATAGCACAGCGGGTAGGGCGTTCGCCTTACAAGCGGCCAACATGGCCGACCCGAGTTTTCCTTTTACCCTTAGGCTTTTCATCTAGACAGGGAGCTGTTTTTTTTTTTACCTCCTATTTTTGATTTTCATTATCTGATAATGACTATCATGTATATCCACGAGGTAAATACACAAATATATATATTTTCAATGCCTATGGCAATCTCTTAAGAAATAGAAACATGGGGCTTGAATGATAGTGGGGGTAGAATGAAGGGGGTTTTGCCTTGCATGTAGCTGATCTTGGGTCCCCAACACCCAACAGGGTCCATTGAGCCCACAGGAGCCCAAAGCACAGAACCAGGAGTAAGCTCTGAGCACTATCTGGTGTTCCTATTGGCTCATATGATCATATTTATATATTTGTGTGGCTGGAGAGTCTAAATTCTCCTTGGTCTGTGTTTTCATATACATATTTCCTTATTTTTGAAAATTTTTTGGCTTGTGAATAAATCTCCAAGTACCTCTTTAAAAAGTTTCTCAGTTAAAGGTAAAATTTCCAGAACTAATTTTGAAGAAATCATGTAAGTCTTTAAACATGAAATTCTATTGTGGCACTGTTTTTTTAAAATTACAACTTACACTGAGATATATAGCGGAACTTTCCTCCAAATTTCCAAAAGCTATTAACTTAAATTGTGGAATTATATTTTTATATTGTTTTCCTTCAAAATATTGAAATTCATATAATTATTCTGCATGCATTTTTTTCCTAGAAATTTACATGTTTACATTTTTTTTCCTAGAAATTTACTTTGAAAAAAAAAAAAGGAAGCACTTGGGGATGTCTAAGTTATAGCTTTATTCCCTTTAAATAAAATGTGCCCTCCCGTTGATCGTCGATTTGCTCGAGCGGGCCCAGTAACGTCTCCATTGGAGACTTTGTTGTTACTGTGTCTGGCATATCGAATACTCTCGGTAGCTTGCCGGGCTCTCCGAGAGGGGCGGAGGAATCGAACTCGGGTCGGCCATGTTGGCCGCGTGTAAGGCGAACGCCCTACCCGCTGTGCTATCGCTAGGGACCCTCTTGGGTTTGGTACCTCTGATGAAGTTCTCCAACCTCTAACATTACTGATCCGATTAGACATACACATCTTGTTAAAAGGGAATGCCCTGCCACAGAGGCAGGGTAGGATGGGGGGAATGGGGGGTGGGAGGGATACTGGGATCCGTGGTGGTGGGAAATGGGCACTGGTGGAGGGATGGGTATTTGATCATTGTATAATTGAAACCCAAGCACAAAAATTTGTAAGTCTACAACTATACCTCAGGGTGTCTCACTAATAAAATTTTTTTTTTAAAAAGTTATTGCTACCACTATTTGGCTTTCTTATACTTCTGTCTGCTTCTGAAATGACCTCCAGAGTGTTGAGGACAACATGTGGTGACTTCTCCAAATCATCCCACTGTCTTATCATCACTGTGGATCTCATCATCACATGGAAAGCTGTAATTCTGGACTTCCCACCCCAAGAGTGGTTAGAACCTTCCTGAACAGACTGATACAACATCTATTGGAACATGACAGGCTGGGAGAATTTTGACACCATGTTCGCCCAAAAAGGCTGGCTTCGGGGGTGAGGGGTTGCCTGGGCCATCACCAGAACTGGCCAAGGACCAAACAACCTGGTAACATTGTAGAGAAGGCCAGAGACCAACAGAAATATACAGCTTAGCACAGTAGGAAAAAAAATTCAAAAATATATAAATGAGATAATTCTATTTATACAGGTGAGTTATTTGAATAAAATATATGAGCTCATGGGGCTCAACATTGCTCAGATTTGCCCTGCAAGAGAAACTGGACAGGTCAACAGCAGAGAAGACTCATGCTAAGATTTAGCTGGCTTATTCTGACTCCTCTCAGTCATGGGTATGAACTGGGCTTCCAAAGTCAGAGGCCAGCTTTGCAGAAAACTAACTTCACAAAGTTTAGCAAACTAACTTTGAGGTGACAAAATGCTGTTTGTTATTTTGCCTGGGTGGCTCAAATTTTAATTTTAGAAGAAAATTTAAGTCCTATGAATCCTTACTGTATCAGATGATCCTATTAATATCTGCTTGCTGAACTGCAGTATTGGCAAAGCTCAGAAGAAATCACTTGGAGATTATCTGCCCTTTTTTTTAGGGTCCTCAGTACTGTAGCCTCTTATTTATTCCAAAGATGACTTTATAGTTACTAAGACTTTACAATCATTACAGACTTTACAGTTGTTAAGTTGGAAAGGCCCTAAAAAGGAGAGTTGGTTTAATGTCCAGAAGATACCCAGAAAGTGTACTTGTGATAGAGAGGGGGAAGTTTCATTCATCGATTGCCACAGCACGTGTGTGTGTGTGTGTGTGTGTGTGTGTGCCGGGGTTCCATGAGGTGCCAGAGATTAAACTCAGGGCCTCAGGCATACCGGGCATGTGTCTGACCACTTTGAGTCATGCCCTGGTCCCACAATGTGCTTTTGTTCAAAGTTAACATCACTTGTCTTCTGGTCACAACACAAGATAGTATGGATATGATGAAGATATAGCATTATTAAAACAGTATCTTAATACTGGTAGCACAAATTTATCCTGTAGATATTTTAAATTAAGGAAAGGATGATGTGAATTTTGGCTGATAAACCTCTTTCCTTAGTCTGAAAGAGAACTGAAAAATCTTTTTTTTTTTAATTTTTTTCCCTTTATTTTATTTTTTTTAAAGTTGTAGATTTACAATTTTTTGTGCTTTGGTTTCAATTATACAATGATCAGATACCCATCCCTCCACCAGTGCCCATTTTCCACCACCATGGATAATATCCCTCCCACCCCCATCCCCCCATTCCCCCTGTCTCTGTGGCAGGGCAATCCCCTGTGGAGAACTGAAAAATCTTTAATCTGTCTAGGCTTCTAGTTAATACAGAAGTCTTTTAATCACCTATTTTTATTGAAATAATACACAATAAAAGACATTAAATCAATTTAAATGTGTATTTTAATACCTATATGATATGAACTTTGATCAAATTTATTTGTTATTAAAATGTTATCCTTTTATTTTAAATCACTGCCCAGTTACTGTATATGGAAATTTGTCCAAATGGACTTGAATTCTGTTAATAGGATTTATAATATAAAACCTTTACAAAAATTAATTTTCATAATTTAGTACATAAAGATGTTATTTTCTAGTGCAGTTAGGCTGACTTTTTAGAATATAAAAATGTTTCTTCAACCACAAAATTTTTTTTTTTTAGATGCTGGTGTCCAAACTCCATACTTAGAAGGCATGTGCTCTAGCACGTGTGTGTGTGTGTATGTGTGTGTGTGTGTGTGTGTATCTCTTTGTCCCTTTCATAAAATTTTTAAAATATATTAATTATAAATAAAACTATATTTCAGGCAAAATATACTAAATACCTTTGCCCAATAACATACACACTCACATGCACATCATCTAACATGGTAACTAATTTGTCAAATGTTGTCACAGAACACCTAAGCAACAAAACACGGTGTGGAATGCTACACACAGTAGAGTGTTAAAATAACCATGGGATGGAGGGTGATCATATTTGTGAAGAAAGGCAGGTGCAAATTTAATAGAAAACCCACACTGCAGTCAGATTTGGAACCGAGAAGAGATGAAGAGACTTTTGTTCTACACAACAGCGCCACTCAGTGGCTGCACAATGGTAGTGGGCGGTAAGAATGGCAGGTGAGCAAAAAGGAAAGGGGAGTTCGGGAGAGGCAATGAGAATGCTGCAGGCAATGAGAGATGCTACGTTGCCACGGTAGCTGTACCTTGGAGGTCAGTGAGAGTCTGGACAGGAACAGAAACCTGAGCATCACTTCCTGTAACTACTTCGCCTGGATTTCATAAGAAAAAATAATTAGATTGCATAAAAAAATTAAAAAAGCAATTTTCCTTCTTCCCCCACAATACGGTAATACTCCCATCAACTCAATATATCACAGAAAATAAACAATTCTTAGAAACAAATACAAAATATTTTTTAAAAGAAATAATTTCTTAAAAACGTTTTCCAAAAGGCTTTCGCATATGTTATCCTTAAAGAACAAGCAAACAAATTTCGACTCATTTCAAAACTAGGAAAAATCAAAGGATTCTTCAAAATCAAAGGATTCTAATCTGACAAGATTCAGCTACAACTATTGCTCTGATTCTGCCTTTTTTTAAAAAAAAATTATGTATCCAAAAGTAAGTAATATGCCATTTAGAAAGGAGACATTCTTTTGAACTTGATTTTCCTGTATCAGACAGAATTTATTTTTAACTCAACTCAAAACCAGATTCTTCACTGATAAGGACCTAATTTCATATTAATAAAAGATTTCATAAGTTGCCACATGTACGTATAAATGTCAACATGTAAAAATAAATCTGTGAACTGCATACCCTTTAAACTTGATATACTTATTATAGGCAGGATTTCGCCTACAAATTGGACCTGTGGTAAATGCTTAAAATAACGAAGTGTCAAATTCAAAAAATAGACACAGGAAGTGGAGGGAAAAGAAGTACATTTTAGGACTGGAGGATAGAAAAGGAAGCAGCAGCCCAAGAGGAAATTCTGCGAAGAACTTGAGGGGACCCTGATGCTTAGAAGCTTCTTTGATTTCCTTTCTGAGCAACAGAGTTCCACCTGGAGCACAGAATAACCCTCTGGACAGTTCACCACGGGAAGATGTGTGCAATTTTGAGATGAAGAACCTTAAAAAAAAAAGCCCCACAAAACTCGTATCTATTCAGAGGTTCCTTATTTTATACATATGAGAACGCCTGGTTATTCAACTTACTTCTGCTGCTTTTCTTGAGTAGTAGAAAAAAATTAGTTTTTCTGAGTAAAGTCACATACCCTCTGTGCCCTGACCACTTGTCCAATTATGATTTACAACACAGCCGGCTCATTTGGAAATTACTGGGCTGTAATTATATCGCCCCCTTCAATTAATAGTACACGCATTTGTAATCTCCTATGACTGAAATGAAATCTTTTAATCGGTACAGATTCCAAACAAGGGCTAAACAGCGTGGAGTGGAACTTATGAGGCCCGGAATGTTCATATAGGCTGTGTGAGAACCTATTGTCTCTATATTTAAAAGAGATTTTCAATTCTAGGCTTGCTACCCATTTCACTTGGCTGCTTCTGACTTTCCTACCAGTGCTTATTTAAAGACAGACAGCTCATTTCAATATGAAAAATTACCAGGAAAATCACGTGGGACATCTGTGCTTCCTCTTCTTTCCTTTGCGACCCACCCCCCACGACTTTACACAACCTCAGAATGCATTTCCAGAACGAAGCTGGCTTTTCCTCACAATTGTTCCCTCACAGAAGCACAGATAAAAGAGTATTTCATCGTTCTCTGCAAACCATTGGCATTTTTCATCTTTGAAAAACAGCCACTTTTTCAAACCCACCTCCAAAATTTCCAGCAGAGTACATAAAAAAAGGCTTCTTTCCTTAAAACACCTCGCACTCTTGTTCAAGTCAGAAGTCACATTCCAACACAAGCCTCCTGACTGACTCATGGTGGTGCTCATGAATCTCTGGGAGCAGGGAACACACTTGTAGACTTGCATGCCATGAGAAGGATGGATCAGCACAGACAACCAATGTTGGGCATTCCTGTGCACTGGAAGAACCATACATTTTATGGTTTTGTTTTTAGTGCCGGGAGGAGGAAACAGGGTCAGAGAACTTCCAGTTCCACACTCAGGTCACCGGCCAACCACTGAAGTGAATAAGGAGTCAGTTGACTCTCGTTTCCACTGTTTTTCCTTCTGTCTGAATTGTTATTAATTAGTCAGAGTATTGTGGGAGACTCCAGAGTCACATCTGGCTGAGGGGCACTTGGGGGAGGGCCTGTGGGCGGTGGGACGAACCCCATGCCACCTCCCTGAACCCCTGTTTTATCCTCATCCGTTTAAGCAGGAAGGGGAAGTAGCAGACATATTTGTCTGAAATATGGAAGTAGACGAGATTTTTTTTTTCCTTTTTGTAGATTGACTAGAAGGAGTTAGGAATAAACAGACAGTAGAGTTGCCAAACAAGGCCACTTTCTCTCAGCTCAGGGATCAGTTGGAAAATACCCTAGTGACACTCGTGTTCCAAATATGTTGCCTAAGTGCTCTGTTGTCTCCTTATAACTGGGGACTTCGTTTTCATCAATTGTTCCATCTTCATGCACTTCCTTTCTCACTTACTGTGATATTAATACTTGACATTTCCTCAGAGACACAACTTTATATTTCTATAGTCATTTGGCTTGGTTCCTCAGAAAATTTAAGCGACAGCATTAAGAGATTCTCTGACTCATTTGCCTGCCATCAGTTAGAATTACTACTGACTACAGCTTGTTATCAAAGCAATATTGAAATCATATTTGTTTAGAACAATAAAACAGTACAATTAAGAAATATATAAAATAACATTCATTTCCACTCTGGAAGCGGGCATGTCTCCTGGTATTAACATCTGTTTACAACATGTTAATGATTTGAAGTCTCCCTCTCTTTAAATCATCTGTGATGGCTCTACATTAAAAAAACAAAGAGAAGGCACTTTCAAATGAGATATCTTATGTAAGGTATATTGGGTATTCGCATATAAATTTAAATACTAATCATAAAAGCCTAGTCTTTCATATAGGAAAGGACACAATGTGCTTAATTAATGGAAAAACACATTCACATTCATCGTTGAGTAATCTTTATCTTCTGTCATTGGGGAATAGAGTATATTTAACTTAAGTTGGGCAATTTAAATGTCAGTAAAGTTGTTTTATTTGTAAATTTGTTTTTCTTCTCTCCAGCAGTGATGGGTCACTCCCAGTGATACTCAAGCCCAGTGGGATGGTTTTGGTACTACGGGCTTGGTGACATGGGTGTTATCTGGGCCCACTGGTGCTAGGGATGTCCAGTGCCACCAAGGCTATCCCTGGGGTCCCCAAGGGCACCATGCTTATATTAGGGAAGATATTGGGGGCTGCCCATTCACAGAATGCACCCCACCCCTCTGAGCTATCTCCATGACCTGAGTTTAATATTCTAAATGCCATCTTCTTAAACAAGAGTGGAACATAACTGAAGGCCAGTATTATTCGTTACTGCCAACACCAGATATTGAAAGGGGCCTGGGTTGGGGTATTTTCCCTAAATGGTCCCAGCCTGAGCATTGCAAGGCCTGAGCATTGATTTCTGTAGATTTTCCACCATCCTGTTACTATTTCTTGCTTCAGTATAGATAGAGTTTTACCACCAAAAATAAACGCAGCTGTTTCTAATCTGCTCCATGAATAGGGGACGAATATATTTTGTCTCTGAAAGGTACGTGGAAATAAAGTTCTGAGGAAGACACCGAGGCCTCTCTTGCAAATAAATCCAAAGAGGAGGAGAAGCCTAGCAGGGCTTGCGGGAGCAACGGGGCATACCAGGAAGCCAGTGGCAAGCACAGTGCTCCAAGCTGTTCTGTGAGAAGTCTGAGCCAGCCAGGCTCCTAGCTCTCCTTCCCCACATCCCTGTCCTCTTCCTTTGAAATGCCTGGACTCAGGCACTTCCTCTGGCTGCTGGAGATTCCGGTTCGCTAGAACGACCCCAAGCTTCTAGTTTATCTTCAGCAGAGGCAAAGAGTTGGACCAGAGACACGCTGAGAAATGCCACAGCTAGGGAATCTCAGGCTGCTGGAATGCAATTCAGATTTCCTTCTGTCAGGAGCATTGCTGGAGTAGCAGAGACCACAAGCGGCCTGCTGGTCTGTGCCACGCTGTATGGCCATCACAGGCCCCAGATGCAAGGACACTAGGTCATCAAAGCAATGTCCTGACAAACGACCTCCTGAATGTCCTTGGGTAACTGAGTCTAGCACCTTCTATTCCAACATCCAAAAAGATCCACCAATACAGAATTTTTAAAAAAAGAAAGAAAGAAATCAAGTTTTGGCTTAATTTCCGGTTCGGGGAGGTTGTTTCCTGGTGGGCCAGTGAGGAACTCCCAAGGGATTCTGGGAGCTTCGCACACATTCCCTTGCATTTCTCCTTACCTTTGTTCAACTGCACCGGCATACTTTCCGATTTCATCAGCCGCTGCTGCTGCTGCTGCTGCTGCTGCAAATGATGCCTGGGGGTTTCCGCTAGGGTCCTGGGGGGCCCCACAGCAGGGGTGGAGCTGCCGCTGCTGCTATTGCCCCCAGGAACAGGGCCGCTGGTACTGCCTGGGGCCGTTGCAGGAGAAATCAACTTTCTTCCAAAATTAATCAGGCTATTGGAGACCTTATTTATATTCAGGGGAGCACCTTTGGCATTGGTCCTGTTGACGAAAGGAAAAGGTGATCATTCAAATGACAGGGTGTCTCTACTTTTACAGGCTTTGCAGAACTGGGAGCCTCTCTCCTCTAAAACGAACATACCTTCCGTGAGGCTAGAAGGGAAAACTTTAAAAAGCCAACACTGAATAATAAAGTAACCAGATTCTTCCTTCCTCTGTTTTTGGGAGGGAGGGGGCTGAGAGAATCAAACCCAGGGCCTCAAACAGGTAAATGAAGTACTCTGCTACTGAGCCACATCCCTGATTTCACATAACAAGTTCTCGATGATGTGACTTATAGGAAAGTCTTTTCACTTTTCATTCATTCATTCATTCATTCATTCAACAACTTGGACGGATTACATGCCAACCAGTGCAAGTCCTAGGGACACAACTGCCCCAGATAGACACACTTACCCTCTCGAAGCACTTAGTTTAGAGGAAAAGGGATTTTTAATAATTAGAAATATTTTAATATACATTTTTATATTTCATGGTCATGGTCCTCTCATTGTTCATCGATTTGCTCGAGCGGGCCAAGTAACATCGCCATCGTGAGACTTGTTGTTACTGTGTTTGGCATATTAAATACGTCACGAGGAGCTTGCCAGGCTTTGCCGTATGGGTGAGATACTCTCGATAGCTTGCCGGGCTCTCTAAGAGGGGCGGAGGAATCGAACCCGGCATGGCCGGGCTGGCTGTGCACAAGGCAAATATGCCTTACCGCTGTGCTATGGCTCCAGCCCATTTTTATATTTATCAAATAAAAATTTATTCTTATAAATAAACATATGATTAAAAAAACACTTTTATAGAGAGATACAAGGCCAGTAAGCCCTGGGTGGGGGAGCTGATTATGAGAAGGGGATTAATAAAACTAGGCCGAGGTTAACTTCCCTCAAGTCCCACTCTGTGCCTACTAAACTGAATTTAATCTGATTCTGAAAAATGAATGTCTGAGAGTCACAAGGTAGTTTCACAGAAGTGATGTTAAGTGCGCAGTACAAGAGCACTGCACCCCACCATCACCACCGCCCACCCCCATCCTGAGCACTTCAATATTCTTCCCCATCTTAATTATTTTATTTTCACTTTTCTTGGCAGCATTTTTAGTCTGTCTTATATTTCTTTTATCTGTAATTGTTTCATCCACTTCCTCCAATCGCTTGACTAAAAACTTCCTGGAGGCAAGGATTTTTGCTTCTCTTGTGAAATGTTCTATTGCCACTGTCTTGTCCTTGATAGGTTTTATGAATACCCATGAAATGTCTACTTCATTCACCTGAAGTCTAAGTCTTCATCTGTTAGAGTGGCCCAAGAACCCTGTTCCCAGCTGTGGCCAGTCCCTTCATTTGAGTTTGGATCCTATCACCTTTGACCTTTGAGATTGTAAATCCTGGGTCTTCCTCTCCTGCTATCGTTTTCTCCATCCCTGTTAGCATACAACCATAGGGGTACGTGTGTATAGGTGTGTTATGTGTGTTTGTATATCTGCATCTTCTCTGAATCCTTAATACTTTAGAGTGACCATTCATTCCACTTCTTTCCAATTGCATACATGTTCTTTTCAAAAGTATACTTGAACATGCTTGCTATCCTGCTTTTTCAGTCTGTACCCCACTAAGTTCTTCTGGCCATTGCTCTGAAACCATACTTCAAGCTTACCAAGGAGCCCTACATTGTAAGCCAAAGGTACACTCATATATGACTCTACCTCCCAGCAGTAATCAAGACCCTTTCCCTTAGCTTTGATTGGTTTGCCATTTCTTGCATTATTAAATGTCTGGCAAATAGAGAATGCTATACAAAAATTGGTTATGTGAAAAATTACCTTTTTTTTTTTTGGTTTTGGGGCCACACTCAGCAGTGCTCCAGGTTTACTCCAAGCTCCATGCTTATGGATCATGCCTGGCAGGGCTTGGGGTCATAAGCGGTGTCAGGGATTGAACACACAGATATTCAATATAGGTGTTCTTTTGCAAGGCAAGCATCCTAACCACTGTGCTATTGCTCTGGTCCAGATAAAATACTTTTTGATGATTCATAACCTTATAGTATCTCAGGCCACTATGTTGAAGACCAAAACATATTATTTTATTTATAGGAGAAGGTTAATTCCATAATACCAAGCCTCCCATTTTTATTGACGCTAATCTCTCATTAAATGGGATGCTTCATTTCTCACTTTGCTTCTCCTTTATAAAAGTTGAACTGAAAGTTAAGAGTGAGGAATTCACAAATTTGATTCCAGGTAACTTGGATTTAATCATCATTTCCATTCTCAAATCTACCTGATAGCACCGAAGTAGCTCTCCTACTTGTAATATGAGATCTGTATTCTTGGCATTATTTGATATAGCTCTAAAATATAACTGATCCATAGTGATGTAATAAAAAGGAAAGAACACGATGCTTGTTTCATGGACCTTTCTTTAATGGTATAAGCTAATATTATGAGCTAAGTATTGGAGACATACTGCCTTGGAGATAAGACAAGTCACATTTAAAACCTGGAACTCAGTTTTATAAAAGAAGGCTCTAATAACTGAATGAACGGAAAAAAATAATTTTCACATGCTTCTTTTTTTTCACATTTCATCTTGAAAGAATAGAGATACTTACTCTCCTACCCCAAATTACTGAAAATAATGTTTCCTACTGCAGAAGGACAGTGATTATGCCACATTCGCTTCTAGCTTTCAGTTGCTTCCTAATAAAGAACATCCTCAATTTACAGACACCACATCGTAGCAACAGAGAAGGCACTCAGTGCATGTTTATGAGAAAAAGAATGAATGAAATGAAAAGAACATATAAATTCTGGTTTAAGAAGACATTCACCTCTGGCACTGTATTCCACTCAGCAGCCTGCTTGCACTCTATTTCTTTTAAGTGGTAGGAGAAAGAAGAGCTATCGTGATACTGAAGTTCTACTGCATTTTAGTTTTGCTTATTTGCAAGTCAAAATTCATAATTCACAGATATGAAGAAGTTATAATGCTGTTACCCTTTTTTTTATAAACAAAAATGTACTCGTCAAATTCCCATATTGCCAGTTGTAAAATTTATATGTTGATAAAAGTACTAAGAAACTGCTAGAGCATTATCAAGAGAATATGGTTAATGCATCTTCATTACTACTAATAACCACAAAAAACATATAGATCAAGCTCATGCCGAGCAATTTTTCATCTGAATAGCTCTTAAAAGGGGATGAATGCTGTTTTCCTTTTTGCGAAACATTTTTTTTGTTTTTAACCAATTTCCCCCCTCATCCTCTACCAGAAGAATATTTTCTTTTCAAACTGACTATTGAAGATGATTCTAAGTATTTTTGATACAAACGACTATAAACCATGCACTTTCCAGGGACAGCATGATGTCTATGGTTTGTTTATCAGCGATGACAATTCTCATGACAAAGTTAGCTCATCTAGATCTTAAATACGAGCGGCAGCATTATCCTCAAGAAATGCTAAATGGTTTGTAATAGATATTATTATTGGCTGTGATGTATATATTAAGTAATGAGCGATAAATCAATGAAAATGAATGCAGCTGTTGATGAGAGAGTTGATGGGCAGTGCGGTCTGGAATAGAGTGGATTAAAGATGGGGTGCAGTGTTGAAATTGCAAGAGGGATTAGGAGTTAACAAGAATTAAATATCGAATCTAATGAGTTATTCTGTATAAACAAAGTCTACAATTCTCTCTAACACACTGTTGGGAAAAGTAGCACCATCTAGCAGGAAGTGTCTTTGAAAATCTCCCAAGAACTTACTTTTGGCACCACCTCATCTAGTTGGTAAGATCAACAGTATCAGAAACATTTTCTGTAGATTGAAGAAACTTTCAAAAATACTCAGATCAGAAACCAAGCCGGTTTTCCAATTGGACTCTATTGTTCAATTCTGACACTGTAAATGGAAGGCTTTCTAAGCCACAATGCTACTGAAAGAATTTAGAAGTTTTCCAATCTCTTCTTAATTTCCAGATCGTGAGCAATTTTCATTTAATTCTAAAATCTTATCATAGCTAAAAAATACCCCACAAAACAAAACAAAACAATAAAACTGCCAAAACCCCCACATCTATGCATTATTACCTATAAAAGTTCTCCTAGACCTTTCTTCTACTGGTATCCAATTTTTTCACAATCATGATTTATTTCCTCATTTTTAGGGAATATATTAAAGTATTTTACTTATTTATTCACAATAATTTTTATTAGATTCTTGCTTATATTTTTAACAAAGAATTGATCTTCAATTAATATAAAATTATTTTTCCTTTATATTCTAATTTCTTTCATTGTTCCCCAAAGCTGAAAGTTTGGTTCATTCTTTTATTTATTAATAATGGAATTTAAGGTTATAAACTTGTGATCCAGGATTACCACTCCTAGGCATTTATCTAAAGAGAACAAAAACCACTCATTTGAAAGGGTAAGACAGCAACAGTCATAGCAGCCAAAACGTAGAATCAACCTAAATAACTACTGACTGGACAAAGAAGCTGTGCTCTCTCTCTATATATATGCAAGGGAATACTAAGTATTCTGTCATTAAAATAAAAAGATGAAACTCTATCTCTGGGGAGAAAATGAGTGAATCTTAAGTGATGATGGTAAATGAAAAGTTAGGAAGTGAAAGTTACTAGATGGCATTCCTCATATGTGGAATATGAACAACTAAAGCAACACATTAAAAAAAACAATATCTCTCAAAAAAAAAAAAGCAAAAAACCTCCTAGATTAGGTGAAAGCTAAGGTAGAAGAGAAGAGAGAGGGTGGGATGATTAAGGGGTCTTTCCAGTGGTGGGATGGCTCTGAAACTGTGGCCATATGACCAGTGAGTATTGTACACATAGAAAGGGATGGAGTAAATGTCTGAAATTCCATATTGTAAATGAATGTTACATCAATAAAAATTATGTAGAAATAAAAATAAAGCTCTATCTTGTAACTTCATTAAAACAAAGAAATCAAGGTAACTCCATTTTCT